TATAAGATGTTCAAATTATTACATAATTACCATCACAAATGTCTCACATATTTAAACGTAATAAGTTCATTACACAAAATAGCATACAAACTATATCTACATACCAAATCCAGATCAAAACACATAAAATTGAACAATGTTTTCCATTGTAAGAAAAAAAACAATTAACACCCATCAATGTGTTAATCAGATATATAATCATTACCACTTATTCTTTTAACTTCAAGCTCTGCTCTTGCACTTCTCCATTGCTCCCGGAGCTGAAATTTTTTAACAATTAATAAGCAAGAAAATTTACCACAATGCCAATGTTTATCTCCGATGTTTATAGACGTTAAGCTTTTACACAATATGTTTACCGTCTAACTATATATACTACTCAATGTGTGAAGTTTTTAATCAATAGTTTTAAACGGTTTAGATGTGCTATAAGCTTTAATGCATTGGTAGAAATACATACCGAGACCAATAGCGTCAGATCCTTTCATGAGACGTAAACGTTTGCATGTATCAACGAACATTCTAATAAATGATAAATTTAAAACAAATGAGTTAGTATTAAAATATGAATAAATAAAACACTAAAACTGTAATTAATGTGAGGAAGAAGAAGACGAACGGCCAAGGAACGTCGCCGACGAGCATCCAATCACCGTCTTTGTCTTCATAAGAGGGAACATAGTCCCAACTATTCACTAAATCCTTCAATTTCCTCTCATTCATGAAGTCTATCATCCCTTCTTCTCCTCCATTTTTTCCTTCATTTATTCACAACAATATATATCATTTATTTACCTCACATTAATATACAATGTATAAAACTTTGAAACTATACATCCTATATAGTCTTTAGTTGAGTGTTGTTAGGATCCTAAGCAAGATACTTAATTTAAAATTGGCATTTATGATGGTGACATATAAAACATATTTTGTCATGAAAACATACGGAACATACAGATTTTAAAATCTGTCTACTCGGTTTATCTAAGACTGGTCTTTTTTTTTTTTATCTAAGACTGGTCTATTATAGTGAAAATTATACGTAAGTACTAGCCAAGTTTTTGTTTTTGCCTTAATATAGTAACAACGAACAAGTATTGCAATATATAAAAGTTATTGGAATCATCTACCGACTAAGAAAAGTCTATAAATATGAAACGTACGTACCCATGGTAAAAGAGCTGAACATGTTGGCCAATGCACTAGAAAGCTCGTCGTAGCTTTTATACATCTTCAAGTCGACTTTCCTCAGGTACGGTGCTCCGTCCATCGATACCTTCACGAACGCCGCCGTTGCCTCCGTGCCGCCGCTTGATTTTTGGCATGAACCCATCACGTTCTTCCGGTATGATCTCACCGGTGGCCATCCCACAACTTGTGCCCTATAAAATTATTTATTTTTAAAAGTGGAAAACGGAATTGTGTTATACAAGATTTGTATGTGTATACATACGTATATGTTATATGAACTAAACAAGCTATCACTAACTCAATTATACGTGATGATTCAAATATATCCTATTCGGATTTTCAACTCTCTAAGAAAAATAAATTGTAAGACATAACAGTTAGGTGGTTTTGGCTTATAAAAACATATCTTTGGTGGAATTTTAAAATTAAGTGAAGTGACTTGATTCTAGTTTTTTCTTCAAACTTTATCAAATTTTATTAGATTTTCCAGCTGAAAAACATGACAGATATGGCTACTATACGAAAAATTAAATTAAGAGAAGAGAGGGAAAATAAATCGCAAATGGCAAAATGGTAAATTACTTGGCAGGAGGTTTGGCTGGATCTTTGGGACAAGAACTCTTCTCCTTGGAAACAGAAGTCACGACTTCATGATGAGTCGTAGATCCTTCCTTGCTTTCAGGCTCATTGTTCAGATTCAGCTTCAGATCAACCGTCTCCGAGAATCCTCTTTTGTTTCCGGTCACCAGAGCCGCCGTATCTCCTCCGGGAAGACCAAGACACAGCTCAGTCTCTCTCAGATTCAGCTCGACACTGCCTATCATTATTAACCTC